GGTTATGTAATCATCTGGGTTTGTATGTTTACCTCCGCCAGGAGGTTATGTAATCATCTGGGTTTGTATGTGTGTGTGTATGTGTGTGTGTATGTGTGTGTGTATGTGTGTATGTATGTGTGTGTGTATGTGTGTGTGTATGTGTGTGTGTGTGTTTGTCTGTGAGCACGATAACTCAAGAAATACCAAACATATCCGTACGAAATTTTGTGAGTGCATTTCCCATCGGCCAAGGAAGGACTGATTAAAATTTGGTTGAATTTGGTTAAAAATTGAACGAGAAAAGAACAAACGTTTGTCTTGCTGTTCCCGGTCAATTAAAAAAAACTCACTGAATGCGTAATTAGGATATGTATAATGTATGCACGCAGTACTAAGAAGACAATAATGAGATGATAAACCTCATTAAGCTTCAGCCTTCATTATCTATTGTCTTAGTCGCATTTCACACGACCGAAATTCAATGGGGCGGAGGTATGCAGTCTCTGAGTGCCCTCTAGTTGTGTTTGTTTTTATTCTCAGATATCAATGAATGTAACGGTGATCCATGTCATGCTAATGCTCAATGTACAAATACTGTTGGATCTTTCCTATGCCAGTGCAATTTGGGTTATTCGGGCTCAGGATTTTTATGTACTGGTGAGTTTGTTACTTATTTATGATGCACACTTACCTTGTTTTACCTGAGTTGCGACGGTTGCCAATTATTTTGCCAAATCCAAATTCTGCACCTTGCCAAATCCAACAGATCTTTTCCATTGCTTTGAGAGCCTACGCAACCTTAGACTTGCTCCAGGTCTTTCTTTCATTGTCATATAGTATTGGTCCACTATAGTGTACATTACATGACGTAGTGCGGAGGGGCGGAGCGAGAAAGAGAGACTTGTCAACTTCGGAAAATCTCGGTTCAAACTGAACCGAAAATGCAAGACTTGCTTTAATTGTTTTCTGTCAGAGTTTATATGCATTGATCTAGCACAGTGTAAATAACATGAGTTCCATTATAGTAAATATACAGAAAGAAATTGAAGGAAAACAATTAAAGCGAGTCTTGCATTTTCGGTTCAGTTTTGAACCGAGATTTTCAGAAGTTGACAAGTCTCTCTTTCTCGCTCCGCCTCTCCGTGCTACGTCATGTAATGTATACTATAGTGGATCGATATGACAATGAAAGAGAGTCTTGGAGCAAGTCTAACGCAATCTTAACTTACAAACATTTTCTGACTATCGTAGAATCTTTGCCATCAGCTTAAACCTAGCCTGCGTAGCTTGCGTGGCAGGCCCTCAATTTTATAGGGGGCCTGATTTGCAGCGAGCAGGATTTTGGCGGGCTCCGGGGGAGGAAAAAGGGCCTGCAGGAAAGCCCACCTTTCATGACTACACGCCCCAGTCATAATATAATTAATGGTCTCTAAAATTGACCAATAAAAATTTAGCTGCAATTGGGGAAAACCCTGGCCCGAAAGAAATAATATTCCCTTGCAGGTAAACATGTCAATCAAACAATATTGCGAAAATATGTGCTCTCAGATTATATGTGAGAAAGTTGGCTTCCAAAAAAATTCTAAAAGTGCGTGGGCTTACAACGGAATTAAAATCTTCAGTTAATACACTACAGGAGAAGTTTCAACACCATTACCAGCCCAAAGATGTAGAAACATCAGGAAAGCGTAAACTGTTAACTCCTGACCCGCTGACCGTGGCGCTAGTCCATTCAACCAAACTGAATCAAATCGCGTTTGTTCTCCGCGATGTTCTCCGGGTAGTATGTCTAGAACTGAATCAAAATCTGCACGTAAAAAATGCTTGTTCAGCAGTGATAGAAAAGATTATCTCACTCGCCAGTCATTAAGAAATAGCACAGGTATTGCAGACAACGTGGGATGTCATGTAAATACTGATTCTGACGATGTACTATGTAACCTCAAAATCGACGGTTTGAAAACGTGTGAAGGGCGTTCGTCACTTAAATAGTTAAAAGTGCTTTTAGGTCATCCGAATGGGAATATTGTGACGCGAAACCCTACAAACAAAAAGACAGTCCAAATAATTAGAAATCTTGTTGTCTGTGACTGGACCACCCAGTGACGAACGCCCTTCACACGTTTTAAAACCGTCGATGTCGAGCTTACTTTTATATAGTACATCATCAGAATCAGTATTTACATCCATGCACGTTAATTGTTTGCAGTGTCCTGTGCTATTTCGTGACGACTGGCCAGTGAGATCATCTTTTGTATCGCTGCTGAACAAGAAAAAATAGCCACGAAGTTCAACAGTTCAAGATTAGAAAGCTGTTAAGATTAGAATGTTGATAAGTATCGAATATCACTGTCTTGGTATTGACCAATGAGGTGATCGTATTCACCGTTTAGAATCTGAACGGCGTGTAGTCATGAAAGGTGGGCTTTCCTGCAGGCCCTCTTTCCTCCCCCGGAGCCCGCCAAAATCCTGCCCGCTGCAAATCAGGCCCCCCATGAAATTGAGGGCCTGCCACGCAGGCTAGCTTAAACCGATAACAAAACACGTTGTATAAGAATAATAGATGCAACCTTATTAACCTTTGGTGTATAGTGTCAAATCTATATGAACCAATGTATATGTTTATATTTTCAGACATTGGCGAATGTGCTAATCCAGCATTGAATAATTGCCATCAAAACGCGAACTGTTTGAACATCCCAGGATCATATCAGTGTCAATGTAACGTTGGATATACAGGAAATGGAGTACAGTGTGCAGGTAAGTACAGCAACTCCAGTTAAGCGTTTCTCATGGGTATCCATACACAGGGAAGAGGTGAAACCTCTTTAGAATTTTAATGTTATCTATAATATGACTGGATGAACAAAAAAGTATTTGTTTAGGTAATCAATTCTTTTATAAAATTTGGAAACATTCAAACTTTTCGGTCACCTGGAACGCAGTGTTTACCCTCGTGAGGTCAAGGAAAACCCCGTCATGCATGGATTACTGCCGAGATAAGACGCATCAGCCACTGCTGTTTATATTAGTCATAGCAGGTGGTGGACTTGGTAGTTCCTCAAAGATGAACTCGGTGTCTCTACAAGGTGAAAGTGTCAGAGTAGGATAACGATCTATTCAGGCAGGGCAGTTTTTTTAGGTGTCGAAGAGCATCTGCAGGTCACTTGCCCTGTTGCAGTGGCCTCTCCAATAGTACAGATGGGTTACTAGTTGAGCTTTAGTTGATAATCTTAGTAATAGTCTAAGACCATATAATTGCATCCACCATGAATTTACATGTAAATGACAGGAAATTAGTTTTAAATTGCGGACTAACTTTTTGTCTGCGTATATTTATTTTAGACATCAACGAATGTCTTACTGGTACTGCTTGTCACACCAACGCTAATTGTACAAACACGGAC